GGTGGTTGCTGACCCTTGGTTGGCTCTTGCCTCCCCCGCCACCGACAGTACCGGTGGAGCTCTCTGCAGGAGCTCCCTGCTTACTGCCGCCACGCTCCCACCACCGCCGGGGGGGGGGGGGGGGGGGGGCACATGCCGTTCATGCCTGTGAGGGCATCCCCATACCCACTCCACCCTCCCTCACCCCATAGTTGCCACACACCCACAGCCTGCCCCCAGAACACTCCCACATATACACAAACCCCCAACATACCCTATGCCCACCACACACAGCCACACCTCTCACCCCACCACACACACACACCCAGCACCCTCACATCCCATCATATAGATACACACACACAGACACACACAGACACACCCCGCAGACATAAAAATAAATTTTTAGTCTGGTATATTGAGTTATTATGCAATCACCTCTATATACGGTATGCAAACAAATAATAACAGTTTTAAAATATTACAAAATATTTTTTGTAATAAAATTAAAATATGTTGTAGTAGGTGTTTGACTTTTAGCATATGATTTAGTTTTCTTCTGATACCAAAATGGCAACTCTCCCTCCCAAAAGGAGTATTTCCAGGGGTCAAGTGGAAGAACTTCTGGTGGCAAAGTTTAAGGATTAGGAGCAGGACTTCTGGTCCCAAGATGGCGACCAGGGGGCAGGGCAACTGTCAAGGGGCAGGGCTACCCATGCAGCCCTCAAAAGCTCACCAAACCTCATTAAATGGCCCTCCACTGGAAATAAATTGCCCGCCCCTACTGTAAGCTACAACAAAGATTTCCACTCCCCACATCTTAAATTCTAACAGCCAGATTCCCTTTATATCTGCCTAATTCAGAAAGAAATCAGTGGAATTATATAGGTGCAACAACAACGTATGTTAAACTGGAATGGGGAGGTAAGGAAATTGTACAGTCTCCCTCATTTCTACCCTGTTTTATAAATACATATTACATTAAGTCTTTAAATTCATGACCACATACCACTTGTTCCTTACCATACTTACCTACCTCCAATCACTATGGCATTTGAGCACCACACAATCCAATGTATCTATCCCTCACCCCTACCCCTTAGATGGGAAAAATAATACTTCCCTATTTAACAGATAGGAAACTGAGGCGTGGGGAAGCTAAGGCTAGATCGGGGTAGACAAAGTTTGGCCCACAGGCCCAATTCGGCTGGCAATGGACTCCATTTCCCAGCAGCCCCTGCTGACCTGGCTGGGACTGGTCTTCATGGAGATCCCAGCCGCAGCTGTGCTATGATAGCACAAGGCTGGCGTTGTCATGGAGATTGGCCCCAGCCACACTGGCAGGGCAGGGGGCTGCTCCAGAGCTGCTGGGATCTTGCAGTGGGGGCAGCTTGGTCCAGGGCCAGGGCAGAGTTGCAATCTGCAGCCCACATGCTCCAGGCAGGGGCACGCAGGCAGTGGACCATGGCTCTGCCCTGGCTCAGGCCCAGGCTGTCACTGCTGCAAGGAGCCGGTGCAAAGATGCCATCTGTAGTCTGCACGCTCCAGACAGAGACATGCAGGCAATGGATTGTGGCTCTGCCCTGGTCCCGGACCAAGCTGCCCCCACCACAACATGCAAGAGGCTCTGGAGCAGCCTCTGCTCTGCCTTGCTGCACACCCTGCCAGCACAGCTGGGGCTGGTCTCCATGGTAACCCCAGCCTTGCACTATCAGAGCACAGCTGCGGCCTCCATGGAAACCACAGTGTCCCAGCCAGGCGGGCAGGGGGCTGGGAAATGGAGTCTGACTGCTGGCCAGATTCACCATTTTGCCCACCCCTGGGCTAGATTTACAGACACAGGCATTTTGACACTGAGCATCACAATCTCGCAACTTTCATGTGGCTGGCCCTAGGACTGGCAGCAAACCTAGTCTTATGTTACCAGTTCTTTGAGAAAACACAGGAGGTTTCACAATTCAGACTTACTATCTCGAGTTCCTTAATACTATTTTCCTAAAAACTTGAATGCATCACTGGAGAAGACTGCAGTTAAGGATTTTAAAGTTCTACCTGCATCATACAGTAGCCACCAAGTTTGGGGCAGGCTGCAATTATGTCTGTTATGCGCTGGTTCCTGTTTACAGCCACATAAAAGAAATACCTGGTAGCCCAGAAAGAAGCAGCAAAACTCCAAAGTTCATCAGATAGTAGCAACCCCCAAAATGGCAGTGTTCGCTAATAATCTGATAAAGATTCCATCAGAGGCTTCACAGGTTGCTTCACCAATAGATCTCTTTACCTGCCTTAGTATTTTGTAGATGATCTACATTAGAGGTACTAAATGACTGCTAATTGAATTTTTTAAGTTACTAAATAGTATATAGAAGAATGTCTATACAAAACAATTAAAAAGGAATTGAAAAATACATTAATATTTACAATTCAGAGGAGCATTTCTGTTTCAGTCCAACTGGAGGAAGATGTTATTCTTGTTAAACATAGTTTTCTTACAACTGCTAGTATTTTCTTGGAAGACTTCGCAAGATGACCTAGAAAACCAAAAACAAGAGTATAGGTGTCATATCTTGGTAGGATACAATTAAACCAAAGAAACTCTAAGCAAAAACTGCAGTCAATTTCATGTGCTCCATAAACTCTCAAGGAAAGAGTTTCACAAATTAATCATCACATTTTCTTTTTTTTTAATCATATGTTGCATCAAAATATCTAGGGGTGCACCAATAAAGATGCTGGGGGCCAATACCAATAGCCAATTTTTAAGGAGGCATATCACCCGATACCGATCCTATTTCCGATACAGCTGCGTCCAACTAGTAAGTCTGTTGTGGTTGAAAGGGAGTGGGGAGGGAAGGGATGGGGCGGGGAGGGGCAGATTAATGCCCCCTGTGGTGAAGGAGGGCAGGGTCATGCAGTGGAGCGGGGGCTGCAGCTGCTGGCTGGAACTGGGGCTGTGCACAGCGCCCTGCCAAGCCACGCTGTATCCACGCCATGGGGCTGTACCCACTCTGGCGGGGGGGGG